CTAAAAATGCGACAAATTTTTCAACTATTATTTGGATTACGATTGTAAGGCACTATGATTGAGTTTTAAACAAAAAATAATGAATCTGATTTGATGCAAAAGCAAAAAATTTTTAGTTGTTTCGTTCAATTCATAATTTGAATTCAAGACTCAGAACCAAATAATATAAATTTTTGACAATGGAGATCAGTAAGTTTGCATTCAGCATAAAAATTATGTAAATACTTCTGTCTTTAGAAGACACGATTCTACACTGTAAAGACTAAGATGCAATGTTTCTCCGAATATAATGTTGATCAACCTAACACAATTGCGCAAATAAACACTTTATTTCAAATCAGCATCAAATTGCTCTTCCACATATAATCGATATTGTGTAAATAAATCTAAACACTTAAAGAGGAATAAAATAACACAAAATAGTCACTCATTGACACCAAAGGAGATTTATTTTCATTTTAGAAATCATATATGTTGACAAGATTTAAATATCGTATTTGATTGTTTACATTTAAAGTAGGAATCCCTTTTAACGCGAGTTGGTAAAAGTGTTAAATGCTGCTATACATCAGACAAAGAAAAAGATCGCAGTAAAATATGTATGTTTGTTTTTAATTCTATAATAAGAATTATTATATTTTAATTAATTTATAAATTTGCTGTAAACTGTACTGAATGATTTTATAGTGTATAACTTCCAGCCGCTTCCATTCTGTTAAGTCTATTTCAAATTCGTCATAATATTCTATCAGTGCTACACGTGTGTTTGATTTACAAACTAATTTTATTTTAGGAATTAACATATACACGCATTCTTAAGCAATGTTTCTTCATTTATCGAATCGTAAAAATTACTTAACTGGCTCTTATGTGAATCAGCTTCCATTCTGCTAAGCCAATTTCAAATTCATCTTAATATTCTATCTGTGCTACACGTATGGTTGATTTACAAACTAATTTTACTTTAGGAATTAACATATACATGCATTCTTAAGTGATGATTCTTCATTTATCGAATCGTAAAATTACTTTACTGACTCTTATGTGAATCTTATGTATCCGCTTCTGATCTGTTAAGTCTATTTTTAATTCGTCTTAATATTCTATCTGTACTACACGTGTACTTGATTTACAAACTAATTTTATTTTCCGTATTAGCGTATACATGCATTCTTATGTAATGATTCTTCATATATACAGAATCGTAAAAATTACCTTACTGACTCTTGTATGTATCTTATCTATCCGTATCCGTTCTGTCAAGCCAATTTTGGATTCGGATTTTGTAGTGTACCTTCGAACGCATTGGCGAAGGGAAACAAACTTATACAGATCTCGGTTTTTAATTCTTTACCACTTTATAAAATATCTTCTCGAAGTGGCATCCCTGCAAAGAGAATTGGTGCCTGAAAGCTATGATACAGCTGCAAAGGGTTAAGACTTTTAATATAAAATGTGAGAATGTATTAGTGAAGAAGACAACTAAATTGCAGAAAAAATATATTTTATTGTATATGTTTTATTATATATATATATATTCTTATGTGTTAACTCAAGATAGTTGAGCGCTTTTAGAAGCGCCTTTTTTCAGCTCATAGAGCATAAAAGGAAGAAACGAGAAGAACATTGAGCTTGATTTACTGTACATTACATTGAAAACAAAGTGACTCTTAAACAAAAAGCCAATTGCTCTTATGGAGCAAGTGTCAAAATCTACAATCATCTTATCCAATATAGAAGAAAACTTCAAATCTTCTGATTTCTTTTCCATTTCACAGATGAGCTAAGGGCAGTTGATTATATTTAGATCCTCATCTGAAAATAAAGTCTGAAAATAAACAATAATAATTTTATTTTAGATAAAGTTATCAAATAATCCGTTCATTCTATTAATCATTTAACACCTTGACCTTTTTACTTCCAGAAGAGATTACTGTGATTCAAAACGCACAAAAACACCTGTTTAAAATCATAAAATCTTCAAAAATGATTTTTATCATATTTTATGATTACTTTTATTTTTCAATTCTGAATTTTTNGTTTTTATATATATATATATATTCTTATGTGTTAACTCAAGATAGTTGAGCGCTTTTAGAAGCGCCTTTTTTCAGCTCATAGAGCATAAAAGGAAGAAACGAGAAGAACATTGAGCTTGATTTACTGTACATTACATTGAAAACAAAGTGACTCTTAAACAAAAAGCCAATTGCTCTTATGGAGCAAGTGTTAAAATCTGCAATCATCTTATCCAATATAGAAGAAAACTTCAAATCCTCTGATTTCTTTTCCATTTCACAGATGAGCTAAGGGCAGTTGATTATATTTAGATCCTCATCTGATAATAAAGTCTGAAAATAAGCAATAATAATTTTATTTTAGATAAAGTTATCAAATAATCCGTTCATTTTATTAATCATTTAACACCTTGACCTTTTTACTTCGAGAAGAGATTACTGTGATTCAAAACGCACAAAAACACCTGTTTAAAATCATAAAATCTTCAAAAATGATTTTTATCATATTTTATGATTACTTTTATTTTTCAATTCTGAATTTTTTTCCAATTTTTACCTTTGGATTTGAAATTCTTGTGAAATTGCAAATTATTCATAATAAGATAATGGTGTCTCACAGCTGCCTATTTCAGGGAGTTAATAGGTAGAAAATCAATCGAAAAAAGCTTAAATTACTAATCAAGTGATAAAGTAATTTCGAGTGTTATAAAGATAAAAAAGAACAAAAAAACTTTAAAAGCATAAATTTAAATTTTATTTAGCATTTAAAAATTGCATTTATGTTAAACGAATTGACACGCTATTGATAAATCTGAATTTTTTCTCTTCTTTTGCTGTCTTTACTAAAGACAGCAAAACTCGTCGCTTTCACTTTTTTCAAAATTAAAGAAACTCACTAGTTCCCTTTTGAATTCGAAATTAAGACGAATCCGAAATAGGCTTGACCGAACGGATACAAACTAGAGTCAGTAAGATGATTTTTACGATACAGTATAAATGAAGAATCATTACATAAGAATGCATGTATACGCTATTTCTTAAAATAAAATTAGTTTGTAAATCAAGCATACGTGTAGCACAGAAAGAATATTAAGACAAATTCTAACTAGGTAACGCGTCGCCGTGACAACGCCCACGCCAACATGAAAACACCAAAGTGGAGGTATCGGCTTAAGCTCCCGTGCCTCGCATGATCATGAGCACCACACTTGAATCGATGGACAAAGAAGGCCTGTGCACGAGTAAAAGGCCCAAGTTTAAACGCACAGGGCTCATCTACAAATGATCCGAAAAGATTAGGGGTTACAGCACACGGACAAATATGCTCCGATCCACTACCTCGATCTAAGAGAAGGTTCAGTTTCAGGAAGGCAACCGAACGTTATATACATATTTACAGATAGTTGCAATCGGAAATTCTAAAAATTACGTCTAAAAAATTCGGAAACTGCATTGAAATAATTAAAGTATTAAAATTAAATTTAAAAAGCTAAGACCGAAGCTTAAATTTAAAATCGTTAAACTTGTAAAAATGGCAAAAACTTTAATTCTTGGCTGGGCAATCCGTCAGACTGGTGATAAGATTAATGAATAGAATTTCACGTCAGTAAAGTATTTTTTGCGATTCGATAAATGAAGATTTGTGACTTAAGAATGCGTGTATTTGTTAATTCTTAAAATAAAATTAGTTTGTAAATTAAGCACAAAGGTAGCACAGATAGAATACTGAGACAAATTCGAAATAGGCTTAATAGAATGGAAGTAGATACATATAAGAGTCAATACAGTAATTTTTACTATTCAATATAAATAAAGAATCATTACCTGTAAGAATGCATGTATATATGCTTATTCTTACAATAAATTTAGCTTGTAAATCAAAATCAAGTGTAGCATTGATAGAATATTATGACGAATTTGAAATAGTCTTTACAGAACGGAAGCGTCTAAAAGTTATTCACTATAAAATCATTTAGTACAGTTTACAGTAATTTAGAAATTAATCGGATGGACGGACAGATGCCAGTTATTTTACCATAATTTTAGAATGAAAACTTTAACAGTGTATACCATTAATGTAAGAGTTTTTACAAGTCTTGGGTTCAGAGATTTGACAAGTCTCATGTCATACGTGTTTGCGCTTTTATCAATGAGTTCAGACATACACTGTCAGAAATAACAGCAAAAAATGCTTAAATAATGTTTTATTTAATTGTTTTCTTACTGTATTAAGAAAAACAACCACATAACAATAAATAAGTTGGTATTCAAATTGTAAACTGTGAGAAAAACCATTTAATAAGTGATTTTAACCAGATCACTCAAACAACCTGAATTCTATAGCTCCAACTATACCTACGTAATGAAGTGACTTATTTTCTCACTGATGGGTACATATTTTAGCCAAAAGGGCTAATCTGTCATCTTTTCCCCAATTTCCCTGACCGAAAGAGCGAAGGTTTGAGTCCCAGCGTTGACACTACGATATTTCCTCCATTCTCTTCAATACATGAAGGGTTTCCAGTGTCTTGCGTTCCCCAATTTGCAACCCTGTGCTTCTTTTCCAGTGAATTGGCACAAACAATAAAAAAAAATAGCCTAATAACACAGACAATAAATAAAAATAGTTTAAATGGATAATCTGAAATTATGAATTGAAAAAGTTTAATTATTGATAAATTAAATTAGGCTAATATTAATCAGCAAAAATTTAAAACATATCAAGCTTAACACTTATTTAAAAAATAACGTAAATATTCTCGTGTATGAAGGTGAATTCATTCACCTTAAATGCAAAGAAGACACTAATGAGTAATATCAATACTAATTTTTATCTGCTCGGATTGAATGCAAGAAAAAAAATTAAATATTGCGCCAATTTGCTTACTTGATAAGTAAAAATCTTTGATCAAGCAATGTTTGTTTTAGAAAAACGTCATTTTTACTAACAGCAGGCTTTTCCCATAAAAATTTGATAAGGAAATATTTAAAATAGGGAAGCTTCACTATGCAAATTTATAGTTTCAAAATTTGTTTGATGCACCTTAAACCTTCAAATATGAAGACTGTTGTTTTGTTTGCTGGCTTGTTGTCCGTTGCCTTAGCTAATGTTATTAGTCTAAGTCCTGAGCAGACAGAAGGTAATGTTTCGTTTTCTGCAATTTTTGATGATAAAAAAAACGTATTAAACAGTTTATATCATAAGATGCATCTAGAGTTTAGGGAAATTTGCATTAACAATTTGTACAAGAGGTAGATGTGAACCAGATTTTTTTAAGCTAAAAAGTGCATTTCCTTTATTTGCGTTTCTTGATATGTGTCTACTTAGCAGCAAAGAATAAAAATCACTTAACTACAATTTTGTGAGATCCTTTTTCTGTTAAATTATAGTTTAATATTAGAATTCTAAGAAACAGCTCACATTAGCAAAGTGTAAACGTTGTTGATTTTATCCGTGATTTGAAATGCTCTTTAACAATTTTAAGAAAAAGCTGGTAAGCCACTTGGTTCTAGATGAAACGTGCCTGCATAAGTTGGCATTTCAGGGAAAGGTTGCGAGTCACAATTTTTTAGAAGAATCACTTGTTATTTTGGGTTAATTCCTAGTTATTTGGGAAATATTTAATGCGAAGAATGAAATATATAAAAAATATAACGAATTAATAATATGATTTGAATTTATCCATAATGCATATGCTGTAAATTAATATAAAAAGTTATTAAATCCTAGTTAATTTATTTTAATTCCTAGTTATTTTGAGTGAATTTCTAGTTATTTTGAGGTAATCAGTTGAAAGTATTAAATACGAAGAATGAAGTATGTGAATGATATTTTGAATCTGTTTATAATGCATGTAAATGAATATAAAAAGTTATTAAATCCTATATATTTTGGGAGAATTCCTAGTTATTTTGTTGTTTTTGTATATATATATATATATATATATATATATATATATATATATATATATATATATATATATATATATATATATATATATATATATNTAATTTGCATATATGATATAACACCCCTAACAATTTAGATTGAGTCATAGAATGTGAAGATCCAATCATTAGGTCAAAAATTATTTATGGTGGTCTATATATATATATATATATATATATATTTGTGCGCTGAGATAAAGTAAATTGTAGCAATTTCAATCATCCAAACGTTAATCAAGTCTAATATTTCTAAACCATTTAATTTTCTAGTTAAGAAGTTATCATCATTAAAAAACTTATATTCAGCAAGAAAATGCGATTTTGACTAAACGCGGTTTTGACTTCATATCTTGACTAAAATCGAAATTAAATAATAAGAAGTATCTTGATAATTTTTTAAATTTCTTTTTTAGAAGCAAGAAATGCTCTGGAAGATCCTGATTTATTCGGTGGTGACATGATTGGAGTTACTTTCGTAAGTATTCGAAAGATACTGACTCAATGTTGTCACCCTCTTATAGAATGTTTTTCCGAAAGTCTTGCACCAAGGAGAACTGAAGAAGTCGCTGTATGAGTGCTTTAAATGCAAAGGAAAGCTGAGATTTTTAATTATGAATACCTCCTCATTATGAAAATTTATCTAAACTTCATTTAGACAAACATTTGAAATTAGTTTTAAAAAATTATAGAATTTTTGACCACGTTAACTTAAGCAGTGTAGTGTCCGAGTAAAATTTTAAACATTTATAAAATATCGAAGTATTATTTGCTTTCATAAAGCTGTGTTTTTTTTTTCATCTTGTGGTTTTACTCCATTTTCCGATTTAGCATAAAGGTCTCTGGAAAAAGAAAACCAAAACTCATTATAAAAGTCATGAACTACAACATCAATTAGGAATTAGTAAAAACAGAACATTATTTGCAAAAAATAGTTATTTCGTGTGAAAATAGAGTTTTTGAAAAAGAACTTCAATTACAGGACCCATATTTCAGTATATTTCATAAATTAATAATAAATAATAAGTGTATTTCATAAATTAAAACGTATATGTCACCAGTCTGCACCTAGACTTGAATAAAACTAGACTAGACATTTAAATAAAACTTTTATAGTGACTTTAAAATCTCTCCATTTAGTTTTGAAAGTATGTAAAGCTTCATGTACATCCAATTTAAAACAATCTCGATTTCAAATATTGGCTCTTTAAATATACTATATTTATTAAAAAATTCAGTCACTGTCATAAAATACTTTCTTTTGAAATGTCTGAACAAAATATACAAAATATGTAGGCATTATATTAAAGAGGTATGTTTGTCATTTCTTTCAATTTAATTTTCAAATTATTGTTTCTATATTTTTGTTTCATGTACCTAAAATCATGTTTTAAAAAAAATTTAAATTTCACTCATAAAAATTCTTTTTTTAATTAATTTTTCAATTCATTCTAATTGGGATGCATTTAAATAGATTATGCTGTGTTATATGTTAGAAATTATGTTTTGTTAACTGCTGAAGATATATTATGCACTGTTAGAAAGTTCTCAGAAAATCGCTAAATAAAAATTTATTTAAATGTTATTTTGCCATATTCAAACAAAACAGTCAAATAAGAATATATAACATGGTATTCAAACTGTTAACTGTGAGAAAATACTAACTGTGAGTCCAGAATCACCTCTTTTACGATAGGCAAAATAACCAAATAAACTAATTCAACCACATTCTACGTTGATAAAACACTACATTATAAACTACATGACTACTTGATATGATAAACTACAAACTACTTTTGATAAAGCACTTTTGAACCACAACTTAATTCCAATGCCCTTTAGCTAACTAAAAGCCCAGCTCCAATGTGCAGATAAATCTCCTTTTTACATTTTTGAAATTATGACAGTTGTAAATGGTAAAAAAAAAAAATCCCGTTTAGTTTTGTATTCAGGTATTTTTAAATATACTAGTTATAAACGGTTTCAAAACTGTAAAAGTAAAAAAAATGTTCTTTACCGTAAACTTTACGGTTAATTAGATGGACAGACTGCTGTCTGTTATTTTACTGTAATTTTAATATGAAAACTCTAAAAGTTTACTACCCGATTTAAAGTTGTTTTAAGCGCTATTTACAGAAATTATTTCTTCTAGGATGATGAAAGAAATGCTATTGTTGGCAACCATTATAGATGGCCAAATGCAGTTGTACCTTACGTTATAGATGACGTTTTACGTAAGAATTCTTCTTTGGTTTATTGTTTATTTATTTTGCTGTCTACTCCTTTAATTGTTATTTTTAATAAAACAGTGCCTTTGGTCTCTTTGTGCTGACAATTCTAAAATACGTCACGTGCTTAAGGATATAAGTTTTTAGATAAAATTGACAAAAACTAATTTGATGTGTACTTTTTAAAATTTTGTCAGTAGAAGCTCGTTAAATAATCGATGGATAATCACCTTTTTTTTCCTTTTCCAGATCACCTCAATATCATTTTGTTGCAATATCCAGAAAATAACTTTTAAATTTGTTCAAATGCTATTTTCATTGATGATAACTATTTAAATTAATGTAATTCTGCATTTTTTGACAGATGTTTCAGTAATTATATTGCACGATACATTTTCAGGGAAGTCAAATATATACCGAATTTTTAACATTTGTTTTAGTTTTTCGCTGCGCAGTTTTGGCATTTTTTTTAATTTTGTCTATTTTTGAATTTATTTTCCCTGTATTTAATAATATAACACATATTTTCCTTCTAATTAATAATAGGACATTTAATTCAATTATAAAGCAGAGCATTACTTTGTTTAAATTAAATTACATATAATATTTTATTATTTCACTGAAAAATATAGCAAATATACAAGAATTTCTTTTTATTAAAACTATTTAAGGCAAACTTCTAAAATAAAGAAAATATGGACTCATTGGCGAATACTTAAAAAAAGGGTTTTTTTATTTATTTAATTGAAAACAAAAAATCTTATTTCAACTTAATATGTGCGGTAAATTTTGATATTAATGTAATCAACTACAAGTATTTTAATAATCATTACGGAAATTATTAAGAAGAAGAAATTAAATAAAACTTATCACTAAGATTTTTTACTTGAAAACTTTCAACTAACACATTTAAAACAGTTTTTTTCAATATTTGTATATTTCAGGTTCTAAATTAGGAATATTTTACAATTTTGTCTTTGAAATTTCAAATTTTTAAATTTTTAATCCTTAAGAAATTTTGTTTTATGACCCTTTTTTAAGAATAGAATTATTCTTTTATTAGAAAGAAAAAAACTTTAAGAAATCCAAATTTGCTTTGCCATTTTAATTGCTTTATTATAATTTTTGACAAGATTACTATTTTGTAGCTGTTTAGTTATGAAATAGTTAGGGAAGAACTGTATACCTACTGTTTTATGAAATATACTCCCTTCTCCGAAATGTTCAATTATATTCCTCCGAAATCTATCTCCAGAAAAAATCATGAATTTTCTGAGAGGTAAAGGAGGAGATATACTAGAATTCAGTATTGTTTTCTAGTCTACTAAGGTCTTGTTTCTTGTGAACTTGTTAGGGCTGAATGGAATATGGTTAAATCCAGGTTGATAGGGATGATTGGAATAATTTTTTTGAATTAAACTAACATAATAAAAATTTCCTTAAATTAAAAAATTCAGTAACCCTGACCTGCCCACAGGGGATATCCGGGGAAATAGTTATAGTGAAATCGCTGAATCACTCTAATTTAATAAAGATTACGGTATAATATTTCTCCGCAAAATGCTATTAATGGTTGATGCATCTAAAGTGTCAAGGCTTTTATACTGTAATTCGGAAAAGAATTTTTTACAATGTATTTAATTGTTGGACTTAACGTACACTGGGACAAAAGTATCGTCAAAACTACAAGAATATGATAAAATTCACCATGTTTCAGGCTCTATGGGGCCAGCAAAAATCTCGGTAAATTATATCGATGTGCTTTAATAATGATGTTTCTAAAATTAACAATAAAATATGATTTTATAATATGTGAGGAATTTGGCTTTTGTAATTAAAATTGGTAACTTTATTATGATACATTCCAGCAGAGAAGGCGAAACATTTCTGATTGATGTATCAGTTAAATAACGTTTTATCGTTGTCGGAGGTAGAGGGTGCCATTTCTTAAATGTCATTAAAAAAATCAAGCCCTGGCGTAAAATAGCGTATCTATATTTCACCAAATATGGAAATGTTACAACTCATCGCACTCGTGTACATCTACGATGTATTTTTTTGAACTTGCTGTTTAGTTATTCACTTGCCTTAAAGTTGAATCAAAGGGGTTTCTTACAGCCTTTTATAGAAGTTATAGATTGAAAAAGCTGTTCACATCATAGTGCGAACATCATAATTTTTTTCCATACTTTATAATTCAGCTGGAGTTCACTCATTACAAATTATACAGCTGACATTAGTCTCTCCTAAGACATGGGTTTACATAGTGATCAGGACGCTTCCCAGCCTTCAGCTCTGAAAATGTTATTATTTCACTCAAAACTGTATTTATTTTTTAATTCTCTTTTCGATTTAAGTATTATAAAAGAAAGCATTGGGTACCTAAAAATTTTATGAAAAGGAAAGTTATTCAGTTACAAATTAAAAATGAAATATAGGAAACTTTTAAATTTTCTTTAAAGAAATTAAAACTTTTAACAAGGTGTAAATAGAAAAGAATATGAACTTATATGCCATAAAAGAAGAAAAAGTCAAAACTTTAAAAGCGGGTGTGGGAAATTAAAACTATTAAACTAAAAAATAAATTTTTGGCTATTATTTTAGGAGCTAAAGTAAAAGCTTTGAGAGATCAATAGTTTGAAAATTCCAAAATTTATTGGAATCGCAAAATTTGAATCGGGGCACGAAAAAATCGTGAACGTAAAATACAAAGTATGTAAAAATGTGAGAGATAAGAATTTAATACAAATTCGCAAGCTTAAACGTATCTGTATTATCCACTTTTTGAAACAGCATGGTTAAGATTAAACTCCTCGCTAACACCTAATCTTATAACTCCTTGGAACGAAAGGGTCTGTTATCCGTACACTGCAAAAAATAATTCAGAATCAGTATGAATATACCGTCACTTAGGATAAAGGTGCCATAAAATCCATTTTTACCAGATCACGGTACGGGACAAAAAATCTGATATACCGTATTTTTTTCCCGTAATAATTATGGTACATTCACTGACAAACTCTAATTAAATAAATATAACTGTAAAAATTACGGTATTAGATGTTACTCTTAAAAATGGAATTCAGGGTAAAATAAATTTTACGGATAATGCAAAATTTTGGCATTTTATGTTATAATTTGACCCGAAAATTTTTTACAGTGTACTCAGTTTTCCAAAATCCCCTAGTACTTATGAATCTTAGGTATAATAAAGGTATAAAAGAGAAAGTTTTTCTTATATTTTTCTTTCTTTTATCATTTTAGTTAAATATGAATATCTGGTGCAGAAGATAGAAACAGCCATGAATGAATATCATAAAAATACATGCATCCGATTCGTCAAAAGGACAGACGAAGAAGATTACGTTCGACTAGCTTGGGACCCTGATAAAAAGTAATTAAAGAATTTATATATTTTTTCATTACAAATATAAAAAGAACACTTTTGAATTTTAAAAGAAAATTGTGTTCTTTATCATTTTATGTGTTTTGTTATGGAAAAGAATATGAAATAACACCTCATATAACTGTTATTGACCCTTAACATTTAAGGTTATATGAAAAGATTAACTTTTTAAGGTTTTTTAAATTATATAATTGTGCAAATTAATTCATCATCAAAATGTAATCCCACTGTCATTTCAGCATAATTAAAAACTTGAATAAAATGAAGAAAAAAAATTAAATGAAGTTAAAAAAAAATCAGGGTAAAGTAAGTCTATATTAGAACATTTTAGTAGTAACATTTTTGTCCACCAAGTTTCCTAACGAGTTCGAGTCTCCATATCAAAATTTGAAATTTAGTAAATAATGAAATCTTAAACCAATTATGTTTAAAAAAAATAAATCTCTTTTAACGATTTAGAAGCCATCAGCAAGAAATTAGTTGTTCCAATATAAAGTTGTAAAGTTTAAACCTTACCACATTAGATTCACATTATTTCGATGAAATGCAGTGTATTGAATGAAATATGAAATATTCTCAAAACAGCAAATACAAAAATGATGATTTAAATTACCGTATATTTTGGCAACTGGAAATTATTGGCAGCCAAAATTCTTTTTTTTTTGCCAGGAGTCTTTCTACCGTGCAGTACGTTAATTTTATTACATTTTTTCTGCTGTAATTGCATACTATTTTTGCTAAGAGCATTATTTTTTTCAGAAATCTGACAGCAGTTGTACATATTGATTTGCGATGCTTAACCGCGAAAGTTATATCCATTCCTTTTGCGGTAATGAATTGAAAAATAAACAATAATAAGCAGTTATTTACAGCTATTTTCGTTGTTTTTTTTATCAATTTTGTCGCACATTACGATTAAAACTTTGACTAAAAGTGTAAATTAAAGTATATTTGCGCAACATATTTTGAAACTTAATTATAAAATATGTAAGATTATGGAATTTCATAAATACTGCAGGTAGGAGAGTGAGTTACCATTAAAAAGTAATCGTACTGCAAACATAAAAGCATACTTTGTCTGTTTTTAAAAATATGGAATTTCTTAACTTTTACAGATGCAACTCTGCCGTAGGTAGAGTTGTTGGTGAACAGTTGCTACATTTGGGTAGAGGTTGTTGGCATGTAGGAACTGTTATTCACGAATTGGGGCATGTTCTTGGATTCTATCACGAACAAAACAGATCAGACAGAGATGATCATTTGATTATCTACGAAGAAAACATAAAAGATGGTGAGCGGTTTGTAACTTTATATATTTTGAATCCAAAGAGAACATTGAATTTTTCTGTTGTTTACAAATTGATATTGATTCAACCATCTCCAAAAATTCAGGGTTGTATGTGAAATACTATAATACCCACGCGTGAAATTTTTTGCGCAGTACAAAAATTTTTGAAATTTTTATTTTATTGTTCGAACGATACATTGTTTTCGAACAGTTTCTATATCTATTGAACTATCGATTTGTACAAAATTGGTCAAATAGTTCTAGCAACTTCAAATTTAAAACACCTAGTTTTTGCTTTTTAATTTGATATTATGTAAACTATTGAACTGATTATGTTTAGACTCTGGGTTATGAACATATAAAAGTAAATTCGTTAAAATAATAAAAAAATTGTTACATTACATTAAAATTCAAAATTTTTTGATTATTTTTAAGGAAAATGATAAAAAAGAATATTTAAAAATCTCTTTCGCATAAAAATATATCTCGATGGGAAAATTTAGCAATTTTTTTTTTAATTTTTGTGATTTGCTTTATAGTTTCTGAGATATGGTAAATTACTCAAAAAGAAAAATTAACATTAAACTCCATACCAAACTATTTGGACCATATTTCACAGATTATTACCTCTATGTTTTGAGGGCCAGGAATACAAATTCGTACAAAAAGGGTGCATTCAAAGAGAATGTAAGTTTTTTGCTAAATATCGTTGACACTATTTAATGAACATGATTAATATATTATTTCTAGTCGAGTGCAGTTTAGTCGTGTTTATTCTATATCTATTATTTAAGAGTAGTCATTAAGAGGATAAGAAAAAAATCAAAGTTAAATTTCTAATTTTAACAACCATTTTAGTTTTTAAATTTAAGAATAAATTTTATTTTATTAAACAAGATGTTATTGTCATGGAAAAAATATATTAGTTTTTTTGAGAAATTAGTTGGTTGATAATAAGAATAATACGCTATCACTTGATCTGTTTCATTAAACACAAATTGTAAGAAGGAATTTCATCTTGTGATATGATGTGGTTAGCAATGAACATATAAAGGTGATATTCAAACCATTAGGGTTGAGTATTAAAACGTGAACGGGAATTATTAGGTCAAAAGTTAATCCGTTATAGGTTGCGCATTGGACTGCAGAATCTGTACTGATAGTTTCCCTGAAAAAACCGATTTGTTAGTAGTTGGTTGTCGAAAATATAAGCAAATATTTTGTGCAAGTTTAGAGCTGTTGGAGTAATTTCTTACCCATTAGTTTTCGATTCGATTTCCATCTACACCTTCGTGTTATCCATGACCATGTTTCAGAGTTTTGATTAAATTTGTTTTCTGCATTATAGTTCAACGAGAATCATCTATATCCAACAGGGTTTTCAAGCTTTCTGTCAAGTTTACTTGCTTCTTCATTGCTTATTACCTAATTCAGACTTAATTGTTTCCTGTTTTTCCTTCTTTATCAGAATGAAAACGACCTGTTTGCTAGTGTCTTCTAAAGTTGAGTATGAATCTGAATATAAGTTTGCGTTTATGGTAGTTGATGTGTAATCGGTGGTTTTCTCTACAGATATGACACTATATTAGATCCAAAGATGCTTATGTTAACTGCTGTTCTGTTAATTTTTGAAATAGCTTAATGCCATCATAGCAGATTGCAAACAAAAAATTGCTTTCACAGCTTTTATCTTGAAGTCATCCATGAAAATTTCTAATAACCGTGCAATTGGAGAACAGAGACCAAACTTGCTCATTAATCGCTCTGCTGAGTGATATAGTTGTTTTAAAGGCCAAAATTATATAGCGGTTTCAATAAGGTTAAAGACTTTAAATATTTTTGCTTCTATGAGGTCAAGAGGATTTATCCCTGGTGATTATTAGTATTATATGTTTATTTTTTACTAAGCACTATTTTTTGTGATAGTCAGTAACATCAGTAAAATTTGGCAGTGTTCACTTGCGATGTCTTGTCATTTGTTAGTGTTTTCTAGTGAACAAAACCAAGTATGTGCGTCACAGTTTATTAATATTAGCACGTTTGTTTAAATATGTTTTTGCATTTCCGGTTAACTTTTTATGTTTTTTTATTAGTGCTTAAAATCTTGTAATAATTTAAATCCTTGCCTAGATGCGGCATCCACGTTAACTTTAGATCGAGCTTGAAATCAAGATAATCCATTTCTAAAGCTTGTTTAATAATTTAACCTATTAACATAATACCATATTTCTAGAAATTGCAGATTAATTGCTCTCGAAAATGCTTATACATATCTGGAATTGGGGCTCAAGACTTACGGAGAAGAGGTTGGCAAAAGCTATCGTTGTCGCAGTAGGTCAATAGCTATACTTAGCATTGAATTCACGATAAATGAAGAATTCGTCTGAAATCAATTTCAAAATCAATAACAACCAGTTTAATCATCAAGTGTATTTATCAGAATTTTCAGATAACCTGGGCTTTTGAGATGAGTCACTTTGTACATTTGCATCTTAAGTTTATACTTTTTACGTTATTTATATGGTAACTGTCAGCATATATGGTAACTAGATTTTACATTTTAATTGAATGAAAAATTAATCCTTTAAAAAATTCTTTTGTAATAGAAAATGTGAATAAATCTTGATGCTTAAATATTTGCTTCGTTACACAGGTAGTGCAAAGGACTTTATAAAGCTAAATCCGGAACAAAATATTTTATATAATGATTTTGACTATGACTCCATCATGATTTATGGCAACAAAGCCATGACCAAGAACGACAAAGACACCATGGTGGCCAAAAACGGAAAGATATTGTTAGATCCATTTCGTAAAGAAGAAATGACCAAAAGTGACATTGAAAGATTCAGAAAAATGTACAACTGTGCTTAGTTTCTTTCAAAATATTTTTGAAATTGTTCAAATATGATGAGTAATAAACAGATTAATGATGAATAATAAAGAAAATATTTATCTTGCTGTATCATTACAATTCATTTTGTTGCTTTGCATTAAAAAACATATAATATTTATAATTATATACATCTATTATTATATAAACCGACTATTTAGAACATTATTTTTTAAATTCTAAATACATAGATATAAATGTATGTATGATTGTCCAGACTTTCTAATCTCCTATACCATCCTATCAAGAGCGATGAAGTTAGGCATACTGGTAGTTCAAAGCATGAAGATGGTCATTGTCGATATTGGAACATTCTATGACGAATCGTACGAGTAGTATGAGAGAAAACAAAATGGATTTTTCTGCTTGGTGAAGCATTAGCCATTATTTGAATTTTAATCCGATGCTTGCAACTCGGGAAGAAGTGGAATTATTATTCTTAACTAGGTAATTTAATAAGATTTAGTTGGATATCTGCAAAAGACGTCACGCGTGTGTGTCGAACCCGATTGTTTTCAGAATCGACAAATACCATGATTTCAATAAGATAACTTTCTATGCACATATCCAATAATAAACATTTTTTGAATATTTTTAAAGCCAGCATCAGATACATTTGCTAACTTATAACTCTATTTTATTACAAACGAGTTTTTTGCCCCCGTACTCTAATACTTAATTATTTCTTGTTCTCTATGTCAGATGAATTCAATGAATAACGTTATTGTGATAGCATAGAAGAACTTAATCACCAAATTAGTATTCTTAAAGTTATTAGAATCTAATTAGAATTTAATATAATTTAAATTTAATGGTTTTTGAAATGGAAAAAAATGACATCTGTTGAAAGAAAAAATTATTAGAAAAGTAATACTACATTATTTTTGGAAACAAAAACCACCATATTGTTATTAACACCAATGACGCTTATAATTTATTGAGTTAATTAAAATATCTGTATAAATAAAGCACAATTTTTATTTGTATGTATGTGCATCTACTTTATACAAATCTGTAATTCTGAATTGGTCTACATAAGCTCGAATGTATGATGCTGACGTCACCGAATTCTCATTTTAAAAGGTATTGGAAGCCACGTGTTTGCCATAATAATTCCTACGCGTTAATAAAGGCGTGTTTCTATAAACCTAATTAATGAGCACTTAACAATAACTAACAAAATATATTAGTTGCTATCTATTAAATCGTGGGGAAATTGGGGCAAATTTTAAAAAATACATTTAAATTACACTTAATTTTCGCAAATTAAACTTTTAACCCATATTATGGTAAAAGTAATGGCACGAAATCGTGCTGGAAAATTCAACAAATAATAAAAATATATAGGTTATTTATTAGGTGCAATGAATGTGTGGTGTGGTGATATTAGGATACTTATCCCTTTTGAAGGGGGGAGGAAACTTATTACTAAGTCCCGGATTTTGATGACATTTGCATTTTTGGACATTTTTTGTCTTTTAGAGCAATTTTTTAGATTTATAGGGCATTTTTCTTTACATTTTGGGGCGTATTTTGCATTTTAATGCATTTTTTAAAGTTTTTGTTAATTTTTTCCAATTTTTATCAATTTTAATTATTACACTGGCTTCCAAACAATAAAGAAAATCCATACGATATTAACAGGTGAAGCAAAAATTTTTTCAAATTCAAGAATTATTGTCAGTAAGTGAGACCGTCTTTTTCAAGTACGCACCTATAGCATTAGTAGACGTTGAGAGAAGCTTCTGCAGGAATGAAAATTTACTTTCAGACAAGAGACGCTCGTTTACATTTCAAATTATCAAAAAACATTTAATAATCCAATGTAATTCTGATATTTAGTAATATTATGAGATGAAAGTTGTTATATCCACTAAAGTTTCTATACAAAATAAAAATATTTTGGTGTCAATATATNTCACCAAATTAGTATTCCTAAAGTTATTAGAATCTAATTATAATTTTATATAATTTAAAATTAATGGTTTTTGAAATGGAAAAAAATGACATCTGTTGAAGGAAAAAATTATTAGAAAAGTAATACTACATTATTTTTGGGAACAAAAACAGCCATATTGTTTTTGCGCTTATAATTTATTGAGTTAATAAAAATATCTATATAAATAAAGCACAATTTTTATTTGTATGAATGTGCATCTACTTTATACAAATCTGTAATTCTGAATTGATCCGCACTTGGTCTACATAAGCTCGAATGTATGATGGTGACGCCACCGAATTCTCATTTTAAAAGTTATTGGAAACTACGTGTTTATCATAATAATTCCTACGCGTTAATCAAGGCGTGTTTCTATAAACCTAATTAATGAGCACTTAACAATAACTAACAAAATATATTAGTAATATACTTGAATATACTTGAAAAATAAACTTGACGGTGCCCCTTGGCGAAATTGGCGACTTATATTTGGCGCTATTGCTTTTTGCGAGGAACACCGAGTAACAGGAATGGCAGCCAAAACATAGTGATATTTCAATAAAACATTGGAAAATTTCAACAAAACATCGGTCAAAACATAGTGATATTTCAATAAAACATTGCAATATTTTAACAAAACATCGGCCAAAACTTGCTATGAACCCAATATAAGCAAAATTAATAAACCCAAGAGGATTTTGAATCGAAGCAAAAATTAATGGAGTAGGTGCAGAAATAAAAGGAGAAAAAACAACTCCTTCATTAATTTGAATATTCTCAGATTTAGGTGTACAGAATTATCTAATAACAGTTAGATACTGTCTAAATTTATCATGAATAGAATCTGTGTACCTCCATCGCCACATAAATACGACGAAATACGAATCGAAAATGGCGTCTGGAATACTGGACTAGCGGTGAAATTTTTTTTCTTAAGTCCCTTTTTATGACTGCCCACATACCTTAGATCTTATTGTCCAGATTCAAAAGTAAACTAACAAGCCGGTATCCCCCGTAGAACTAACGGATCTCTGAAATTACATATACCGTTGAACATTTAAAAATAACGCTAAAATCTAAACCAATTAGAATTACGATTGGGTTTTAACATCGCCCAGCTTGGCGATCAACCGCGATCACAACTTGTCGAGAATCAAGGGGCACCCTCAAATATAGTCTACCCTAGTTGCTATCTATTTAGTGGGATTATTATGGCAAATTTTAAAAATTACATTTAAATTACACTTAGTTTTCGCAAATTGAACTTTTAACCCATATTATGGTAAAAGTAATGGCACGAAACCGTGCTGAAAAATTCAACAAATAATAAAAATATAGAGGTTATTTATTAGGTGCAATAAATGTGTGGTGTGGTGATATTAGGATACTTATCCTTTTTGAAGGGGAGGGGGAACTTATTACAATAGCGCTTACATTAAACACCTATGTTGGTATAATAGGTTATCAGTACCACAATACCTTTAATGGTAATACTAGTAGTAAACATTTTTCAAGTGATAAAGATAGTGCAATAAAATTTCATCTATGCCTGATAGAAGTCTTTTCAAAAAATCTATTTGATTTTAATGTTTTGAATGAAATTTGCTAAATGTATTTAGAGCATATATGGCAGAACTCTTACTTTCGTTACTTGTACCGCCGGTACAAGTAAAAATTACGCACTTTTACTTGTATTTCGTTACTTTTTAAATTTAGTACTTTTACTTGTGTTTTCGTTACTTTTTTAGGGAAAAAGTACAAGTATTTGTAACTGAAATATCGAATGAAATCGTTACTTTTTTCTAAAACTTGGTAAGGTTTCTAAAAAAAAGAAAAAAAAGGAAAAAGAACATTAAATTTAAAAATAATGCTTATGTTTTCTTAATTTATAAAATTAATGTGCAATATATATGCATTCACATCTAACTTCGTGTTTAAATACCTTCTGTTTCAACTTGTACTGCACGTTCACTTATTTTTTACTAGCTCAAAGATCACAAAGCTGTCTGAAACCCCGTGTTTGCCTTGCTTATGTTTGTGCTTTTAAAACGCGTTTCTAAAGAGTAAAACAATTTTAAATCAATGGTAATTTAAATAAATAAAAATAATAAAATTAAAATTAAAATCAATGGATCAAATTTCTTTTTCGTGCAAATTCATAAAAAGTATGATATTAAAATTATATTTGATTTTGAAATTATATTTGCCTTTAAAATTATATTATACGATTATATTATAAAATTATATTATAATATTCATCCGAATTTAAAAATAAATTAATATCCATAACTTTCAAAATTAAAAATAATTAAATAAATAACAACAATTTTGCAAAAACATTAAAGAACATAAGAATATTATTCAATAAAATTTTAGGTTACTTTGAATTTTCGATTTCCTAGAAATGTATTCTTAAATAGTTACTTTTTTTGTTTAGTACTTGTACTTTTACTTGTACTTTTTACTCGTTACTTTTCAAAATAAGAACTTTTTGCTTTTTACTCGCTACTTTTTTCAAAAATGCTTGTACTTTTACTCGATACTTTTTAAAAGTAACGTTGCCATATATGATTTAGAGCAAAACTCAAACAGGGTTACACTCTTAAAATGTAAGAGTGAATTCCTCTACTCAAAAAAAGAGTGAAATTTTTTTAAACTCAACTTGATTGGAGTACATCCATATTTGAGCGAAATACTTAATTTGTTTTCAATCAAACTTGAGTGGTAGATATAAACGATACTTGAGTGGTTCTCGCTTAAGAATGAGTGAGTTATTTATAATTTAATTGTGTTCGAGCTATAAGCTGGAATTTGTATTGTTTTATTTTAAAAAGCAAACGATAAAAAACAGAACGTAGACAGGTAGAATTTTTGCATTTTAAAACTTTTTAACACAGTTTACAGAGACTTTAAGATTTAAAAAAAAAATACGAATCCTTATTATGCAACTACACACGCATTTTCGCAGTGAATATTTGTTTATGCTGTTTAACAAACTCAAGCCGCAAACTTAATCTCTATAGTATACTCAAACTCATAATCCCTTGTAAATCTTCGGTAGACGACATAAAAAGTGGGCCAACATTGTGGTTTTTGGAAGTGAAAATATTTATGTTCGTAAAGAATAGG